TTTTTTTTTTGAATTGAAATTTCAAAACTTAATTAATAGTGAATTATTATATAGAAAGAAACACATAACACCACGGGTTAAATCCTAACCAAAATTCTTAAGTAAACCATATAGAAGACAACAAAATATTAGATTTATTAATATGGTAAATTTAAGACTCACTATAAGTCATACACAACCGATCTAAAGAATTATATATCAACACAAATAACAACCAAAATTATACATAACTAATAAATAATAAAAATATTTTAACCCGCGGTATACCGCGGATCATATCCTAGTATACAAATTGTAATGAGAAGCTGGGGCGAGTTTCAAAAAATTTATTACATGAATAGTATATATAACGTTTGATCTTCCTTTTTTTTTTATGTCAAAGTATAATGTGTGATCAAATGTTATATTTACGTGATATATGTTTTTATAACTTTTTGACTATCACAAACCAATATGTGATCGGTTTAATGAAATTGATCCAAAAAAAAACATGTCTTGATCGAATAAGTTTTTTTTTTATCTTGCAAAAACAAAATTTAGTAAATAAATCAATTGAACATCGTTTTGTGAAATATTTGTTATACAAATTAGCATTAGATACAAGCAGAGAAATTAAAATCTCCTAAAATAATAAACTATAAAATTCATAAAATGGATAAATTACTAGTATTCACAAATTTTATTTATAAACATATTTTTCTTGCTAATTTAAAAGAAATACTCCTAAGAAAGCATAGTTTTTGTTGACGAAAACATAATTTTGTAGATGTTAGGAAGATAAGCTTACTGTGAGACATAACAAACTTGGTTAACTAGTCTACCGATATATCATCACTATTTTAATTTTTAAATTTGATTTCAATTCCTTTGTTTCTCCTCATAGTTGCATACTATGAATTAAGTTTTTTCATTATCAAATTAATCTCACAAGCATAACTCACCTACAATTTAATTTTCTTCCTTATTGTATGTTTTATTTTTTAACATAGTTTATAAAAAATGGTGCAATACTAAACTAAATTATCTCTACTTACTGAAAGAGTTGGAATAACATAGTATAAATTAATTTTATCTTATTTAAGACCTCTTAAAATGCTATCTCTCTCGCTAGCATTTATAAGTTCATGTAAGAAAAAATCACAAAGATTATCTTGAATCTACAAATTCACATTATTTAACAGAAATTCTACTAGTAATAAAATACTACTAGAATAAAAAAAAATAACAAAAATCATGATGAAATGAAAGCAAAGTAAATTATATACATTGATAACACATGAACTTCGATGGCTGTGTAGAGAAATAATCTATAAAATTTGGCTAGAGAACTTCCTATTCGGAATGGCCGAAGAACCTCTTATCTAAACCAAGTGAAGAATTAGTCTGTGTACCAATATACAAAAATCAAATAGGAAAAAAAAATAATTTTCTTTTAATATTTTTTGGAAAATTTTAATTTATTTATATAAAAACTAATTTTGCAACAAGCGTGGCTATATACACCTAGTTACCACATAATGAGAGTGATGTATGTGTGTAAATCTAGCTATTTATAAATAAACTTGTAGAAAATTAAGTTAAGCAAAGTAACATATACAGTGGAGATTGCAAGCATATAGGTAGGACAAGTGCTCCATAATTAATTTTTGAAATATATGTATTAAAATTAATAAAACTTTAAGGTTATGCCTCATGTTAACATAATTTCTGAAGAATATTTAAATTCATTAAGGTTGAGTCTAAGCTTGTGCATATGGGTTTCAGATCGGATTTGGTTCATATTTTTTCAGATATTTATAACTCAAATAGAAGAGTTTATTATCCGTTCGGGTTTTATGACTATTTGGTTCGGTTTCGGTTTGGGTGGTTTTAAATTTGGATCGGTTTTCAAAAAAAAAATTAAAGATTGTTCAATTATAATAGAATTTGGTAAAATTTTCAAAAAGTTGTATAATTTTGACAAATATAACTAATAATTTTCAGACATCTAGGTTATGTCGGGTGTTTGGGTATATTGTTTGATTTTTGGTTTGGTTTGGATAATTCAGATAGAAACATTTATTATCCGTTAGGATTTTTTTACAATTAGGTTTGATTTCATAACCGAATATTTTTAGATTTTGGTTTTTATGTCCATGCCTAATTGTACCCCATGTGAAAATAACTTTTGGATCCGCCATTAAACATATAATAGCTATCAAGAACATATGATTTAGTTAGTTTTTCTCATGATTTCTTTTGTTTTTCGAAGAGGGAATTGGTATTGAGATCAAACTAATTAAAGTATAATTGTTTTATCTACTTTTATGAATAAACATATTAATTTTGTTAAATTTCAAGTATTGTAAGGTTATTTATAAATAAATTTGATGCAATTTTAAGTTTTTATGATAAGTAGTTAATATGTTTGGAGTGTTATGTTTTAGTGTTAGTAAAGCTTTTATAATATAGTCCCTCCGTTTCATTTTAGTTGTCATTTTAGGACTTAAATTTTGTTTCGTAATAGTTATCGTTTTAGGTTTTTAATGCAAATGTTTGGTAAAAATTCCAGTATTATCCCTATTGTTTTAATGTTTTGGCCAATGAAAAAATTTATAAGATATATTAATAAAGGGTAAAACAAAAAATTTAATGATTTTCTTAATTTATGTGAAAAAACCTTAAACGACAACTAAAACGAAACGGAAGGAGTAGCTAAATCATCTATAACCCAACATTTGTTATGTAAACAAATAAGGCAATGAAGATAGTTAGGCTAACGCGATATGGTTTTAAAGACCAAATAAGTACCTTTTGATGTTATGTTTTCAGTTTTAGTTTATTTCTATCTTTTTGTAAATATTTTTGTTTATTGTAAAATTAAAAGGTGGTCATAGCAATTTAACTCGGTTTGGGTTGATTTGTAGTAATCATATAAAAGATCTTGTAGTGAGTTATATAATTATATTTTGGTTTCATCTATTATCATGTTTCATATATTTAGTTTCGAAAATATAAAATGTACTGGATAACTTTATGAGAGATTTTATTTTATAGATCTTAAGATGTTATATCATTCATGAACATAGATTGTATGTTTTTGTGCACATGATTATGTGTCTATATACTATTTGATTATATGTTATTTGCAATAAGATGTTTACATGTTTAAGTAGATTTTACTATGTATCAATATTGAACTATTTGTATTGACTATTGATTAATGTATTCCATCTGTGTTCGTCTGAGACTTCTAATAAGAAAGATATAATCGTTTTGAGAATGTTTTTGTGTATTCTTCTTGACCTCAATGCTCGAATATACACAAACTTACAAGACTTGGGAACCAAGTTAGAATCCTAACTAAAAAGAAAGATATGATTTACACAAATCTAAAGACTTAACTATACAATAAATGCATATCTATAGCTATGGATATTGGATATTCTCCATTAACTTCCACTGTCAATATCTACTATACATTTTTGCAACAGTTTTTGGGGTCCCTAATCAGGTCAAAATTTTGTTTAATTTTGACCCGGAAATCTATTAAATTTGACCCGGAATTAAGACTCTCGGATCTTACCTTATTTGAGATTTTGACCCGAATTTTCTCAATCGGAACCTTTCTTAATTGACACTCCCTACATTCAAGGCAAAACGTATTTAGTTTCTCATAATTGAAAGATATGGAAAATATATATAGTTATAAATCGTTTCCTAAATAGGTGCTAATGAATTAAGTACAAAACATTTTTCTTTCCTAAATAAAATGTGAATATTTTTAAACTACAATAATATGAATCTCGCCTAATTAATAATCAAATCTTTCAAAAACCTTATCTCCTCTTAAATCCTAACTATAACCTGCGACTCAATATCATTATCTCCTTTAAATTCGTGTATCATTCCATAGATGAGTGTATCATTCATTTAGATATCTTCTCAAGAATATATTTTCATTAACGTTTATGATATTTTAACTTTCTCCCCAAGATTTTCGAAACTACTTGAGTCAAAACCCTACCCTCCTACACTATATACTAGATTATATCCCGCACTATGTGCGGGACAAAACGATTATTAAATATATTTTAATATATTGATAATATTGAAAGTGTTCGAATTTTATATTATTAGATAAACGGTAATGTATTAATGATTATCAAGATTGGTGAAATTTTTTGTTTATGTATTAAATTTTATGTTTATCATATGATTTATGATATATATCTTGTTATATTAATAGATACACAAAATATTAGGTACTCCATTTTGTATATATTTGTCTCTCTTAATTACATATTTTAATTATATTTTCGTTTTAACTAATTGAGAAAAATAAAAATCATAGATTAATTAGAAAAAATAAACATACGTAAAACTATTTGCAAAATCTGTAAATATCCTAATAAATATTGGGTCTTTAACTAAATAGATTAAGAAACTCTGTGAGAACGACACGTCAGCATGTCATTTTTGTTAATCACACATGATGGTAAGGTTATTTTTTAAAAATGCTTCTCAATTGTATAAGGGATTGATGATTATAATAATTTGGTTTTAATATTTTAGTAGTAATAAATTCAACCAAATATCACGGGGATTTAAGTTTGGTAAGTAATTATGTAGTCAATGTGGAGAGATTTAAGGAAGATTGATTAAGGTATATAGATTTCATACTAATAATTAAATTAATGTCGTGATCATGTCGTTTTTGGGAGGAAAAATAAAAGATCCGATACTTAATTTTCGGGTCATCCGACAGCCAAAAACCCGACCCACCAGTAGCAATTTTTGTAAATACATTCTAACTCCAGGATTTATTTACTAAATGTCTCCAAAAATGTATATATAGATATCAACGTCATTTTCATCTACCATTCATCCAACAATTACATCTATTCACAACAAACGTCTCATTCATCTCCATTTGATAACTTATCACACAATTACCTCTTTTCATCAATCTTTGATCACTTGCAAACTTTGAAATGGCTGCTTCCTTTGCTTTCCTTCGTGATGTCAATAAGTAAAAGACAGCTTGGAAAGTTCAAGTGATAGTTCTTCATACCTGAAAACATGGATCTAGCTGATATCAAAGTAAGCTATTTAAATAAATTCTTCAAAAACGATTTTTGTATAGCATTGATTTGTATCATTTTTAAAATGAGAATATTTATCTTCCTAAGAAATTCTTACCAACGTGATAATTGCAGGGAACAAAGAAGACCATCAAAGGAGTCTTTGAGATGACTGAGGTAAAGTTATTCCTAAACCAATGATAATTTTAAATAAAAAATATGTATTTTTCTGTTTACTGGACTATTTTAAGGTATTTAACTAACTCAATAATATGTTAATTGAATTTCATTTAGTATAAAGCTACATAACTTATTACTAACCTTTATATATGAAAAAAAACAGATTTTACATGGAATCAAAGAGAAAGAATGTTTTCAAAGAAGGCAAAGAACAATCAAGAGTCAAAGTACAACATTTCTTTCAAATAAGATGGAAAGAGATTCACATTTGAAACTCCTCTTTCGTTTTCTAAAAGGTCCAACATGTGATGAAGATTGAAGAATTTACAAAGTTGGTCTACGAGACATACAATGATGCATGTTCGACAAGAGGTTTATTAGACGAATGATATGGTATTTCTTATTTTTTAAAAAATTCTAAAATCTTATGTTAGTTTTTCATTTTCAATTATTTGTATTTTCTTAATTATGTTATCAAATTATTAAATTTCAGAAAACAAGACGCTTTAACTGTGAGCCAGTAATTTAAACTAAATCGCATTTGATCTAAGACATGAGTTAACTCCTTATAATCAAAGACTCAAAATCATAACAATATGTATCAGCTACCTGCTAAGGCTAGAGACCGATAAGCCGCGATCTAAAGCTTCTTTACATATGTGTGATCCCACAAAACCATTTCCACCCAGGACAAGCAGCTGATAAAAGAACGAAAGATAAGTTCCAAGATCATGAACATCATTGCAATATCTTTACAAATAATCACTATGTAAGATTCCTCAAAATGCATACCTTCTCAGTTGGAGTTGGAGGCACATGTACAGACTCAACTTCTTCCACATTGAATGGCTCATCAATTTTGTTAAGAGTCTGTCGAGAGATACCTCCCGCCACCAGAGACAGAAAACAAACCTAATGCAACATAATCCAAAAACTAATAGATCTGTATCTCTTACCTGTAATCGAAACTGGGCATCTATTGTTCCTTGGTTAAATATCTGCAAATTCAGATGAAAAAGAAAAACATAATCAAAATCAAATACTAAATGGCAACAGAAAATGGAAATCAATATAAACATAATAACCAAACCGGAGTAAAAATTCGATGCCCATAAAACAATTGGAGTAATCATCTATAACAGAATTCAAAAATCGGAATTGACATCACTTTCAATCATTACAGACGGGATTGAAAATCCAGGAGATGTGAGCTAAACAAAAATCAAATTGAGGAAAGAAGCTTGAGGCTTATCTTAAAAAGCTGAACGAAAATGGAGATAAACCCATAAGTGGAGTGACATCGGCGATGATTCAAGAAGGAATCATGTTGACACATGAGAGTTGGGTGAGAGAAAGACGATTGTGTTCGGTGTTCGGCTGAGAAGACGTGTTTGGTGAAGGAGTATGTTTGTTCTGATTTTGGGTATTATTACTGGGCTAAGCCCATTAGCCATCAATAATAATAGATACAAACTAATGGCTTACAAATACATTAATATCAATTAATACATACAAACGTATTCTTGAGTTATATACATATTTTTGACTTTATATATACAAACTAATGGCATACAGCCATACAATACGATTGTTCTTAACAAATTAAATAATATTTCATTTAAGGGTGGGTGTACGGTTTTTTCGGTTTGGTTTTGGTTCGATTTTTTTGGTTTTACGGTTTTTCGGTTTTACATAAATTAAAACTATATAGAAACCATATGTAATTCGGTTTGGTTACGGTTCAGGTTTTTACAGTTTTACGGTTTTCCGGTTTTATTAAAATTGAAACCATATAAACCATATGTATATCGGTTTTGGTTTTATTAAAATGGGTTTTTATGCTTAAACATAACCAAACCATTTATTTTTGTTTAGTTCGGTTTGGTTTTCAGTTTTCGGTTATTTTGCACACCCCTAATTTCATTTATTTTCTACATTTCTTTCATACTCTTATGATAGTAAATTAACAAATTTAGCACACATAAAACACATGATTTAACACTTATATCAACCACATTATAATGCCTTTGCTAACTAATAATATATGATAACCACAAAAACCTATATTCATTTTCAAAAAATTACATGTACTTTTTGAAAGATATGATATAAAAATCCAAACAAATACCTACACATGCGGTGTACTGCGGGTTCAATTTTTGGGTTAAGTCCGATCCTTTTTATTTTTTATAACACATTAAAATACACATATACAACAATTAAGCAGAAATTTATAAACAAGAAAATATAAAAAAATATATGAACCCGCGGTGTACCGCGGGTCAATCTCTAGTACTTTAGTATCAATGTTGGACTGTTAGTACCAATGATTAATGTATTGGTAGAAAAACAAAACTTTGTATAGTTATTAAAGTTTTATGTTACTTAAGTTCAAACTAGTTGAATAAATAGTGCAATAAAATAAATAGTTACCCATTAATGTATCAAATATATCTTATTATATAAAGTATGGTTTTCAAAGTTAATAACTCATAGGATCGTGACACATGACAAATCTATCGATCTCAGATTTTGACACATGTAAAACAAAAATTTCCTTTTATTTATTTTTAAAAAATATAAGGAAACTATATGCACATAAAAAATTTATCAATGTATAAAACCAAAAAAAATTTATAGGAAATTATACATATGTCTATCTTATATAAAAAAAATTCTAAAAATCTAAAGAAGATAAATATAAGGAAACTAGATGTATCTTATGAAATAAAAATAGAAATTTAAGAAAAACATTTTTAAGGCAACTATACATATATATCTTATAAAAAAAAATTAAAAGTAAAGAAGATAATTATAAGGAAACTATATGTATCTTATTAAATAAAAATAGAAATTAAAAAATTATTTACTAATTCTAATTTAAAGCTACTAATTCTAAAAGAAAAATATTATTACAAAACATTTATGAAATTATACAATCTTATTGTATAATATGATAATTAAAATTTTTTTATAATCAATTATTAATTGTAGAAGAAAAAGGATTCTAAATACTCACCTCTGTAGATAAACAAATAGATAAATAGACAAATTAAGAATTATGAACGGCGATGAACATAAAATAGAGTTGTTGTCGAAAAAGCTCGACCCGATGTTAGAGGAGATAAAGAAGGTGGAGAAATAAGAGCAATTGGGGAAAGAGGGGAAGATGCGGTAACGGTGGTGTTGGTGTTGATGACGGTGGTTCAAGCTTGGTGGTGGTGGCGGTAAATATTGATGAAGATAGTGGGTCAGAGTTAGCGAGATTTACTATTGATGGTGATGATGATTGTGGTAGGTGTAAAATTCAGTTGTGGTGGTGGCCTGGTGGGTCAGAGTAGTGAGTCTCGGTGGTGATGTCCGACGAAAAAGAGAAATAGTGATATGGAAAAAGAAAAAAAATATGGTGGTGAATAAATCCAACGAGATGGAGGGAAAGAAAAAGAAAGAGGAGATCAAGCAAAAATAAGAGAAATCTAATGAGTGAAAAAAAGAGATTTGAGACTTATCGCCGGCGAGAGGAAAAAAAAAAAAAGACAACGAAGAACTCATGAGTAATATGGGCCACAAATTGACAAAAACCATATAGCAAAGAGACATTGTTTAGTTAATATCATTTTCTTAATTTTTTTTTAGTATTAGGTTATTTAGTCCATATTCTCTAAATCCTTCTGAATTTATCTTTTTGTTTTGAGGATTTCTCATATTATATATCAAGTAAACTTACATGATTTGGATATAGACTGTCTCATGTTGTCACAATTTTGTTTTCATCTTACTCACATTGAAATTAAAAAGTGTTATACACTCTTCCGATGGATGTAGATAATTTATTAAAATTCAATAATACACATAGGAGAATTTATTAAATATCACATTGTAACATATAATAAACAAAACTACATATAGTATTCTATATTGCACATTATGCATAATTAATCTATATTTTAAAAAGAATTAAAATACTACATTTTCTAAAATTAAATCATATTTTTATATAATTTTAGTTAAACTTACAAAAATAAAAATTAAAAATGACAATTTCGACCGGTAATCCGTGCAACGCACGGGTCCTTATTAAATTAAAACAAATATTTCCTTTTATTTATTTAAAAATATATATAAGGAGAATATACGCACATGTCAAATTTATCGATCTCAGGTTTTAACACGTGTAAACCAAAAAATTCTTTTTATTTATTTAGAAAAAATAGAAAGAAATTATACGTATATATCTTATATAAAAACAATTATAAAAATCTAAGGAAGATAAGTATAAGGAAACTATATGTATCTTATTAAATAAAAATAGAAATTTAAGAACAAAAATTATAAGGCAACTACACTATATTGTTATATAAAAACAAATTTAAAAATAAAGAAGATAATTATAAGGAAACTATATGTATCTTATTCTATAAAAATAAAAATAAAAAATCATCTACTAATTCTAATTTAAGGCTACTTTTTCCTTCAAATTACAAACGGATTTAGGAAATCATACAATTAACTAATAAAATATGATAATTAAGGAAATTATACAATAAAAAAGATTTAAGAAATTATACAATTAATTAATAAAATACAATAATTAAGGAAATTATTCAAGGGAGACTCACAAAAATGCCCCTTTTTCAATACCCCTTTTCAAAAATGCCTCATTTGGCTGTCCATTTTTAAAAATACCCCTTTTTATATACAAAATGACTAAATTATCCTTCTTTTAATAAAAGATATCACAAATATATAAGGAAATATAACAAAATTAGGTCCACAAAATACAAAATATTTTTTTGGCGGGAAAAGTGATCCCGCAATTTTTCCCGCCAAAACACTTGTAAAAACTTGTAAAACCTTTAAAATACCTTGTAAAATTTTCCCGTAAAACTTGTAAAACCTTTAAAATACCTTGTAAAATTTTTTTGCGGAAAAAGTGATTCCGCAATTTTTTTGGCGTTAAATTTTTGGCGGAAAAAATTTACAAGGTATTTTAAAGGTTTTTTACAGGGTATTTATAAGGTTTTACAATGTATTTTAAAAGGTTTTACAACGTATTTATAAGGTATTTATAAGATATTATAAGATTTTACAAGCTATTTTATAAGGTTTTACAAGTTATAAGATTTTACAAGTTTTTTTATAAGGTTTTACTAGTTATAAATACCTTATAAAACTTTATAAGTACCTTGTAAAACCTTTTAAAATACATTCTAAAACCTTACAAAACACTTGTAAATACTCCGTAAAACCTTTAAAATACCTTGTAAATTTTTCCCGCCAAAAAAATTGCTGAATCACTTTTCTCGCAAAAAAAAATTTTTGGCGGGAAAATTTTTGGCGGGAAAAATTTTTACGGGAAAATTTTACAAGGTATTTTAAAGGTTTTTACAAGTGTTTTGGCGGGAAAATTGCGGGATCACTTTTCTCGCCAAAAAATATTTTGTATTTTGTGGACCTAATTTTGTTTCAAATAAAGGTAAAATGGTCATTAAAAATTAAAATAGGGCAAACTTAAAAATAAACTCTCAAAGGGTGCATTTTTGAAA